AAAAAAAAAAAAAAAAAAAAAATGTCAAGGAACGTTTAGCGAGTGGCTCATTATTTTAAAATAATTGGTTACCGCCGACTTCTATAATTATTCTACAATTATTATTCGTCTTCCGTTTAGTTTTTACGTCTCGTTTGCCTTGCGTTGTCCGTCGTTCGGATTCTCGAACGAATACTCCGTCATCGATTCTCGATTCTCGTACGGATCAAACAAACGAAAGATCCGCGCGTAATGATCGGGATCTCATGATCTTAACTTGCGGGTAAATTGAATCCACTAGGCAATCTACTTTATCTTCCAAAACAGACATGATTAAATTATTAAATGATGGATTACGCGTCCATCATTGCATTTTTATCAGTTGTCCAATATTAATTTGACGAATAACTCCGTCGTCGTAGCATCGTGAGCAGACATACAATTTCGGCGATACTAGATATTTTGACATCTTTCGCGACATTACCATATATATGTGTGTATGTGTGTGTGTGTGATAAAAAATATTAAGTAGTAAATTCTGTAAATTGCAATTTAGATCATGAATATTTCTAAAATTAGGCGTATATTAATTTTTGCTACTAAGACAAGGGTAAAAATGTGAAAAATTTCCTTTCACATATAAAAAATTTTCACTAATAATTAACTTACCTGTCTTCAAAATAAAAAAAAAAAGTAATTTGTGAATAAAAATGAGCAATTTTTGTCCGACAAAATGATTTTCAACAAGTATGAAATATAAGATGTGATTACTTACCAAAATATAGTAGCAACGATATTGATACGAGCTTTTGTTAACAAATTAAAAAATCAAAGATTTATGCCTAATACACTACAGAGACGATGCTTATGCGACGGAATCGAAATTACGACTGACACGAGAAATGTTGCATTTGAATGAGATTCGAAGAGTTTAACGGGAATTGAGGTAACGGACTTTCACCCAACCAAGTAATCACCTTTCTATTTTTATCAGTTTGTTTTTTGATAATCAATTTAATCCTAAAAACCTATTTTATTACACATGTCTATTTGATAAGATAACTATACATAAAATTATTTAAACATTGAAATGAAGTTGTCTGATTTAATTTTATTTATTAAAGATAAATAATAACATTTGATTTTATTTATCAAAGATAAATAAGTAAAGTATTTTTATAAATTAAATTTTACATGAGATGTGCGTATTAAAATACAATTTTTATTTCTTAATTTAACTTTTAACCTTTATTTGGTATAAGTGACAAGCATTCTGTTTAATTTGTCATTTTGAGCTTCTAAGCCTAAACTTTAAATACCTTAAAAAGTTATCATTACTTACTATAACTATTAACAATGAAAATGTTAACGTACCCTCAAACTAGAAATTGTTTTTGCTTAAATGAATATAATTTTGATCTAATTTTAAATAGGAACTTTTATTTATAAATCTAGATACATTACATATTGATTATCAGTCTTCTTTCTTTACTTATGAATGTATAAGCGTAAGAGTATCATTTTACCTTATGTCATAACGTTATTAAAACGGTATTAAAAAAATAACAGGTTTATAACGTTTTCTTTGGTTGTTAAACTTTTCATTAAAACGAGGCGACTTTTTAAACAAAAATCGGTACTCACAAATAACAAAATAATTACTTGAATATGAAAAAATACACGTTCTCGTATAAAAATACCACATAACGTTAAGTTTAAATTTAGAAAGTTAAAACTTAAAAATATTCTTATATTTCTATGGCAATTTTAATATTTAAGATCTAATGTTATATGATACTTTTATACGAAAACACGTTATGTTTTTAAATAAATATTTCTACATTTTCTTCTTTATTTTTAAATAATGAACATGATTTAACGAGAAAGTTGTTAACCTTTTAACTGAATTAATAAGTTAATTAACAGTTAATTTAACTTTCTTATTAAATTTGTTGAATTATGTTCATTATTTAAATTTAATTATGTTCATATATGTAATAACTTAATAAGAAAGTTATTAATAATTTTCCGGCCCTAAGATATTTTCAAAAACTGGCAAATTTTCATTTTCTGGAATTAATCTGTCATTAGTATTAGCAATTTTAACTACATTAATATCGGCAGATTTCGTCACTTCTTTTTCATTATATTTCTTATCAGAATTACATGTTTCATCTGTCGTTTCAATGGGAGAGATATTCAGTCCTAATTTGCAAAGATTCAATACAGTCTCTTCCTCAGTCTTTACTGATATATCACCATTTTGATTTTGTACAGAAATTGAAGACACGGAATTTGTCATATTTCCAGTCTTTAGTTCTGCAGTTAATTCTGCTACGTTATCGAACGATATAGTCCTTTCTCTCTTATTTAAAAGTCTCTTTAAATCTGGATTTGTCAAAAATGGTTTACATCGTTTAGTATGCATTTTCATATTATCCAGACGATTGAAAGGTTTGCTGCATCCGGGGCAATGGAATCTATAAATAAATATAAAAGGTCTGTAACATCCAGAGTAATAGAATCTATAAATAAACGTACATGCATTACTATTAAACGATTATTTTCATATTATCCAGACGATTTAAAGTTTTGTTACATCTAGGGCAATGTATGTAATGACTTCCCAGTCATTCCCAGTCATTAGTGAGTATCGTAATATTCAACAAATTAAAAGGCAATTAAAAGAAACGTACCTAATTTTACTATGTACTGCCATATGAGCAGCTAAATGAGATTGTTGACCAAACGATTTTTCACAAACATTACATTTATACTTTCTGATGCCTTCATGCTTCAAAAGATGTTCTTTTAGTATTTGGCTACTCTTATACACATTTGGACATAAAGTACATTTATATTTCGCTGCAGCATGAACCTATGAACAAAATTTTTTGTTTTGTTATAATTATGTTCTTAATCAGTAACTTGTTAATTGACTATAGCAAAACGTGTCTTACATTTTGATGATTGTACAAAGCTTTTCTTGATTTGACACGTTTGCCGCATACATTACATACATAATCTTGCATGTGAATATTTTTATGATGCATTTCTAATGCTTCTGCGTTAGATAAATAAGCAGAACATAGTTTACACATAACAGCTTTATCCTTGTTATGTACAATCATGTGCGCGCGTAATCTAGTTTTTGAATAAAACTCTTTCCCACAAATTTTACAGCTAACGTCCTATAATTTTTACAAAGGATAAATAAAGTTCGGTAACTTAATATATTATTTAATACATCAAACAATTTTATAGATACCTTTAGTGGTTTATGAGTAGCGCTATGGTAATTTAGCGTTTGTCTACTGGAACTTGCAAAGTCACAAAGTTCGCACTTGTATGGACGCGCACCTGTATGAGTATTAATATGTTCCTCTAATAATACAGCAGTTACATATCGTTTTTCACAAAGATGGCACGCGAATGGTTTAATTTTTAAGTGACTCTTTCTAATATGGCAACGAACATTGCTAACAGTAACTGTAGCAAAATCACAAGCTTTGCATTGATACGGTTTCATTTGTAAATGTCCCCAAATATGTACCTATAAAATTTTAAGATTTAAATTTAAATAATCTTTCACATGTAATAAAAATAATTTATTTTAAACTTACTTGACACTTATCCATTCTAAAATAGAGGCTACCACAAATATTGCAGCGTATATTCTTTTTATCAATTACCGTTATATTTTTTTGTACTTCTTCTGAGTTTATTGTTGACATATTCACCACGTAATAAGTTTCAATGATTTGTTTCTGTTCATCACTTATTAATTTGGAAATTTTACCAAACGGTTTATTTTTATTTTTAGTTCCACTAAAACTATCTTGACTGAGTCGAGATAATGAACGTTTATTGAGAACGTTGCATTCTTCATTTTTGGTATTTTGATCTATTATATCTAACCCAATACAAACTTCTGTACAATCTTTCTGTATCGTCTTTGGATTTGATACTTTGTTAGAAAAAGATTTTATAACAACCATACGATTTTTTTCTTTGAATATTTCAGAATATTCAGACTGTTGATTATTATGAACGGAAATAATTTCTATATCAGAATTACTATCAGGTACTGTTATTAAATTGGTCTCACTATCTTCAGTTTTTTTAGATTCTTTTGCCAGCAAACTTTGATCCTTCATTAAATTTTCATTCTGTTTAAAAGGAGAAGTATCTTCTGTTTCTCCTTTTACTTCTTTTGAAATAATCGATATCGCTTTACATTTTACAGAGCAGTCTTCTGTATTGTTCAAACAATTGCCAGGTTTCTCCATACTTTCATTATTAGATTTTATTTCTAGTGATTTATCAATCACTATATGAGCTTCATTACTTTTGGTAAAATCAGTATTTAAGGGAGTATCAATCAACTGTTCCGCGTCGATTTGAGATGGCAAAGTCATAACATTATTAATCACATTATTAGAGTTATCATTATCATAAATAGCAGGCAGGCAACTTCTTTTGCATTCATCGTGCAAATTTTTGTTTTTTCTATTGTTATCAAAATTATCATTCTTCTTTGTCAGATCAGTTTTGTAACAGACCTTAAAAAAGCAATCATTTCGGATTCTCTCTCTCATCTTCTCGAATTTACTTTTCCGCCCTCTTTTACATTGTGCTGGCTGACCTGATTTGATACGAATATTCTTCTCATTTTTTTGTAGTGACTTATTCGTTAAGTTTGTACGAATTGCAGGCTTTTTTACAATATTATTTTTTAAATTCCTATGTTTTAAATTACCAACGTTATGCTGATCATTTCCTGGCATTTCTTTATATGAAGTTACATTGCTTAATTGTACTGTAGTTTGTGTAACTGAATAATTATTAGTAGTTGAATTATTATCTACGAGATTAACGCTTTTCTCTTTCCTTTCAGTCTTATATGTATTATTTTCAGAAAGACAATTTTTTGTACTCTTTAGATCGTCAGGTGATGAAACCTTGACCTTCCATTTGGTCCCATTCTTTGATGGGACAGTGTTCTCCTTATCTGATTCTACATCACTGTCTCCCTGAAACTTTTCATCTCTTGTATTTTGACTCTGTAAAATAAGAACAAAATATTTTCAATATTTTATTTATATTTACACCTTTAATGATATAATTTTGTTCTGTATTTTTTTTTTTATTCTCGATTTATCGAGACAAATATCGAAAGTTAATTGCACTTCGATGTAATTCAAGTTATATTATTAAATTTTTGTTAAATTATCAAATTTATTATTAAATTTCAACTATACAGTACAATTGTATTTTGTATTTGTATAATTGTGTGTTATCCTCTATTATGTCAGTAATATTGACTATTAATATAATAATGTAATAATAATAATAATTAGATAAACATAATTCTTAGAAAACATGTGTATATCTGTATACACATATAATATAATATTCTATATAAATATAATATTTTAGATTCTAGTGTATATTCCATGCTTGGAAAAATATTAAATGCAAAATTTCGCTACGGGTCTGTGTGGACCCTACATCCGCCTTGCTCGTTGTTAAAATCATCCAAAGGTTAAATATATGCCTTTGCCTAGTTATAAAAAAAAAAAACATATTTTCTCTAATAATAAATATAAACATATGCGATGAGATTTTAGAAAATAGCTTACAGCTTTCGAAAATCCTTTTTGAACAAGATGACAGCGCTCATAAAAATCACATAAGAACTCCAGTGTACCCAGACATCGCATACAAACAATCTGCGGTAGTCCATCATTTTCTTTTACCTGAAACAATAAAAAGAAATTTCCATGTCCAAAAAATGAATCATAAACCTTGCGTAGAGAAAGCTCAACTTTTTACAAAGAAGATAAAAGACGATATCCCAAGTCTGTATAATAATCATGTTAATACAAGTTTACAATAAAATGAAATTAGATTTAAATAGATTTAAATTTAACAGTACTATCTTTATTATTTCAAAATTCTACAGAAGTATTATATTAGTAACAGAACAAACCTTGTTGGATCATATTTTTTTATGCACATGCAAGATAAAAATGAATTACCATGCAAAATAAGTTAGAAGAAAATGGTATGGAGAAAAAATAAGATTGAAAATCATATGATTAGCGGTCCCAAAAATATCGTACCTTTATTGAGAAAAATTGTAGAATCCTTAAACAAATGTATGCTTTTTTCTTTATTGTCGAAAAATCGTTATATATATACGCTAACTCATACTGCACATTAATAACATATTAATGTTTATCTTTATCAAGAAATATACATACATACGTACGTACATACATACATACATACATGCATACATACATACATACGCACGCATATACACAATATATACATATATAGCATACATATTAACCATTGGAAAAATAAATTGGTTTAACAAACGTCTTGTACAAATAATTATTGTACAATATCTTGTATAATGTATTACATAATATCTTGTACAATAATTATTGCTTATCACTTATTATCTGAGGAAAGAATGTAAATGTTAGATATAATATCGTTCGCATGATTTTATTAACAATTCACATGCGAAATAACTTTTCCCGAGGAAAAATAATTGTCATAGTTCATGTATAATCATGTATAATTCTTTGTGATCTCATCTCGAAAAAAATGGTAGAGAGATAGAACGTCTCACTTTCTATTTAAAAATTATACATATACTGAACATTTTGAATGAAATATAACTGAAACATTATCAATTCATAGTTTAATCATTAACTAAATTTCTATATAAAATTACTAAATTCTAAGTAAAAATAATGGAAAAATGTATGTCATAATTACTCTTTTTATCACTTAACAATTATTTCTCTTTCAAAATATTCAGTACAGCTTCTAAATTATTTGGATTAAATTATATCAGACAATTTGAGGACAAAGAATTATATTTGATTTCCTTCCGAAAGAAGATTAATGCTGTACTCAGAGTATCATCGATTTTTTTTCATTCATCAATGCTCCTGAGTAATACATAAATAACATATATTGAGTCGACCAAGGCACTTACGATACCATTCTGTTTTCCTAATAAATTACATAATATGTTTTCTTAGATAATTTATCGTACGCACTACTCTTGTAGTGATATATTTATCGAAAACAATAGTTTGCTTAAATCTAAACTCGTTATCACCAATATTTTATATTTTTCAATTTTCTTATAATGAATCATTGCTTTTGTTCTGAATCTTCATTTATTATATTTATTTATTATATTTATAATACATAGTATTATATATAAAATAGAATCGAAAATAGAATAAAATACACTTTATACATTTAAAAGTTTTGAAATTCTTCTAAAAACAGTCATGTAAAAATACATAGAAAATATTCTTTTTCACTTTTATACCCTTTTTTCGGAGTTTTTAATTTTGGAAGCCCTGTATTTATATAATCTTTATCATATAAATCAATTTTTCTTAAAAAGCTAACTGTGCGACAAATATGCAAATTTTCTACAAAAATGTATCCAATATTTTTTGGCTTCCTTACAATTACATTTCAATTTGTCGTTTATTTTCTATCTTTTTGTTAAATCTTACCCCAATATTCTGTCATGTTTCATTAGTTTGTCTTTATTATAGCTTTGGTAAATTAATAATGTTCCAAGTGCAAAAATATTTTCTAATATAATATATGTAAATGGAAAAAATACTTAATGGATATCAGTAGTCTCTTAAATGCACACTTGCTACATTATGTACA